TCATTTAGTGCTAAATTTCTATTTATTTGCTCAGTTTAAAAAAGTTTTAAAAAACAAAATGTGCTATAATTTTTGCACACGCCAGATTTTGTTATATTTTTTTCACCAATATGTTAAATTCAGCAAATAAACAGCAACTGTACATTAAACTGTACAGAAGTGTGTTCTCTGTAGAAAGGACATTTTACCTTATTTTCACTTCAACAAAATATGTCACTTGACCAGGGGGCCCAAACTTTTGCATCTAATTGTACATGAAGGCAAAACAATCCTTAAAGAAAAATATTTTCCCTAATTTACCATTAATTTACCTTTATTAACATTGCATTAAAAATTTAGAGAACACATTTGGGTTCACTGGTCATTTTGTATAGACACTAAAATGGCATTTACATTGTGGACATTGCAACCCCTGGTTCTTATCACTACCACTGTAAAGAAACATGAGTTTAAACACTTTGAATGATTTTATTTACACCTTAACAACTGAATTATATTGAAATTTTGAAAAATCTGTGTAATCTGTGGCAAGTAAACATAAGAAAAGGAATACACTTCACACTTTGGTCACCTTTTATCATTACTCTGATTTGTATTGCTTTCAGAAATGTGCTCGTTCAGAAACTATCGCAGGAAATCCAACAGTAAACCCAGGATGATGCTTATTTTTGTAGTGATAGAACACACAACAGCAAGCAGAAAGCTCCATATGCTGATATATTTTACTATGCCCAGCATGGACATGCATACATTGACATTATATTTGATAGGGTTAATAACGTGAGATGCAACCCTACTCAATCCAGTTGAACAAATTTCCTCATAGTGACAATAGTACAGTCCCATGAAGAGTAACAAAATATGAAACATGCACTAATAAAAGCCAATGGTTTAACACATTTTTAAAGTATCAGGATTTATATGCACAGATCAAAACTTCAAAATGTCAGCCTGCAGGTTATAGAGGTCAAGGCCATTTGCGTTTATTTCCCCTCTTGCATTCTCAATAAGCTGGACCGAAGGTAACTATGGCACAGTTGAAAATCTTGGACCTGAATCAAGGATAGCTACCAGATGTCCATGGGATAAATCTAAGCCCTCAAAACACGACTGGTATTCAAGTCGAGCCACATGCTGTTGGACGAAGCAGATGACAACGCTGCTCCAGCACATATGAGACGGCCAGTGTGCGCTTCTGAGAGCTTGCTTCCCACTGATTGCTTTCCATTGTGTGGAGCTAGAAGAAATCACCCTTTTATTCTTATCTGAGAGCAGTTTAATCATCTCTCTCATAACAACTAAGGTTAGGATTTCTTGTAAGGAAAGCTGGTCCTGGATCAGATTGAGGGGGCAATCTCAAGCTGGAGCCATTATGCTGTGCAAATGGAAGCAGGGGATGTATATGCTGAACGGTTTCAGTGCTCTTCAAAGCCTCAGCCATCTCACAGACTGTGAATAAAACATGAGGCGTACACAGGGGGCGCCTCACAAAGATGCCGCTAGGAGAGCTAGCACAGATGAGACCGGAATGCCTTTGATTTCAGCAGCGCGAACAATCCTGCTGGAGTTTTCCACCAAACTCCCCTTATGCACGTTCTCGTTCCTTTGCTAACTTTTTTCTTCCACTTTCTAGCTTTATTCTTGTTTCTGACTCAAACCTTTTTTTTTTACAGCTCAATTTGTACCCTCCTCTTTAAAGTGAGTATGTTTAGAGGAGAAGCTCTAGAAGGTGCAATAAAGGGAGGAATTTGAGATGCTGTATGGTTCTTTGCAAGCAACTGACGTGTTTCTTGGAGAAGAGGAAAAATGAACTTCAGTCACCACACCAACACAGCGATAGAGGATCCTCTGCTCTTGGTTACTTAAAGAATAGAAAGTCTGGCATTCTTCCAAGCCAGAATGGTGCTCCATTTAAGACTAATGTTATTCCATGTTGAGATGAAAGTCAGCCTTGAGAGCATTCTTGGGATCCACTCAGAGATCCTGAGCTTGGTTCTGGGCTTGGGCTGAGGGTAGCCTCTCAGGACCTGGACTGATTGCTTCACACCACTGGAGAGTTTATCCAGGGTCTGGCCAAGTTCCAGCTTTCTCTCATACGACTCCAAAGCCAAGAAACGCCACCAAACACTTAGGCATTTCCTCCTTCCTCATATTATTTTCATGCTTGCCATGTTGAGCTTAATTAAAGCCAGTCATTTTGCAATCTTCTAAACATTCCATAGCAAGATATCATGTTTTACAGGAGCACTAACTACTCACTTTCATGTTAAGACAGCACAAACGCTTTTATTCTTGATCATAAGTCTTAAAAACCTTTATACAGCCAAACTGCTACAGGTCCACACTGTAAGACAAATGTGTCTGAAATGCCAGACATGCGAGGCATCATTTCCAGTGGCTAATCCAAGGGGATTGCTGAATGCAGTTAAAGTGTCTTCTGCTCTATGTCTCCTATCTGAGCCCTATCTGTTTATCAGGTTTTGGATGAGTAAACACAACTGTTCACAGAACCACCAGTCAGTCTTCTTTCGTGAGAGCATGCTCCATATGCCCCTCCCTCTGTTCCCAGATCTGTCACTACCCTGAAATTAGGAAATAACAAAATCGTCCCGATGCCCAGGGCACTTAATCACTGGGCAGCCCCCAATAACTGCATTTTCAAGGCCTGTTTGACTTTGAGTAAACACAGCCAGGAAATGTATTCAATGGCTGTAAACATGTATGCAGAGGGACGCGTGCCTCAAACAGTTTTATGGCCAGAGAATCATTCAAGAAGGTGCTTTGAAAGCAGTTGGGTAAACCTTTGATAATAGACAATGACAATGGATGGCACAGAACAAGGCCTTTTAGTTTTGTGGTTTCTGAACTGGAACATCCTGAGGTCAGTGCTTATGTCTTTTATGAGGACTAGAATGCAGTAATGGATTGGTGAGTTCAAAAGGCATATGTCTTACAGTGCCGCTGGACCTAAATCTGTGTTTTCTTGCAAAGCAGGTTAATATTTGCACTTGGGGGTACACCATGTTCATGTATGTCATGCGTACTTAACCCCTCAATGGTAAAAGGCTGATGTGGGCTGTTCTAACCACACAGCTTTAACAAAACCGTGTTCTCCCACAGCCTCTTTTTGTTTGAGTCAGAGAAACAAACTAACAACCAAGCGAAAGCTAACCTACTAGGTATGATTGAGCTAGCAAACTATCTCACCTGTCTGCCTGTCGTCTGTTCGTTCGTCCAATCGACCACTGCATCATTCTCTGGATGCACATCCAGCAGTAAAGTGAATAAGAACCTTACCTTTTTAGCCAGTCAAACAATTTAGGTTTAGTCCACAACATGACCCGCATATGTATTGCCTGCTTATTTCCCACCACTTGTGCTTTTGTATGTAGTTCTCCTTCAGTTAAATAGCAGGCTGGGAAGGTTAGATTGAGGGCTGTCATTCACTTATTCTCAGCAGAATATTAGGACCACACCTGAGACAGTTCTCGGATTGGTCTAATAAGCAGACATTGAGTCATGTTTGATTTTATACTGCTATCTTGTTTTGTCATTCAAAATTTGCTGAATGTTTAATGTAACGCTCAGTTTTGAAAATTTGGTATTTTAGTCTTAGAACAGAATTTTTGGTTTGAGAGGTGTCAAACAGGTGTGGAGTATGTGGAATACAGAAACAGCAAACAAAAGCACAGCCAAAGCCCTGCCCTGACCTTCTGAGCTCAGGAATGAGCTCTACTCATACAGATTCTGCTTATATGCTAAAAAACAGACTTTACACTTTGTCCAGGATAGTGTTAGCAGTGTGTGAAGAGTGAATGACGTCTTCACTGCTATCTAAAATCTATGGGATACTTCAAGAGATATATTAGAACAACTGTTACGAATTAACCTATTTATGACTCACCAATATTACCAATATTTTGATGAGTAATGTAACAAACACTGTTAGTGTGCTAATACTTTTTCATTGAAGAGGGCTTTGAAGGATCAGGTGAAGATGTAGGGTGTATCGTGTTATGTCGATAATGACAGTTAGCGTTTAACATTTAATGGAATGAAAAACATACCTAAAAAAAACTCTTCAATACAATAAATATTTGAGTTTTTGACCTGTGGTGCATGTGGTACACTTCTAGGAAATAGCGTTCTATATCAAAAAAGTTCAATGATTTATAACAGCAGTTCTGTATGGAAATGGTTCTGTAAAAAATTATACATAAGACTTAGTTTTCCATCATATAAAAGAATCGTTTAACCAGGCAGGGAACCATTTATACATTCAAAGGGCTCTTTCAGTTATGATTCTATGTACAACCACTGCCTTTACAGAAGAACACCTGAAGAACCACTTTTTAAAAAGCCCATATTCCACATTTTCTTTGTATTCAGTTTTCTCTCTCTAGTTCCACTTATAACGTTCGTGTAAGTTTATGTACCAGTTACGATTTATTTTAGACAATCACTTTCCAACTTCTCTTTGTTCTTTAAAATTGACTGTAAATGAGCTCTGTTCTGATTGGCTGCCTCACACTAGAGCTCATTTATTAAGAAATCTGGTCGAAACACTTCTTATAACTTCAGTGTGAGTGGGTGGAGCTAATCAGCTGTAGGCTGAATAGGCAGATATATGAAATGTGTTGGATTTTGTGACATCACAAAAACAGTGAATTCAAAACAGGTCAGTTTCCATATATGGATTGTAGGGACTGGGAGATAACAGTATGTTTCGAAACTTTAAAAATGAAAATTAAACTAAGTTGTTGGTGTCTCATGATATGGGCCCTTTAAAGGGGGGTAGTGGTCCACCCATACTGGCACAGTGATGTGTCTCCCACTGCTGTGATGTGCTTGTCTGTAGTGTACGACCCCACTTCCACTCAGGGGGCTTGTTAATAAGCTGAGTAATTAGATCAGGTGTGACAGAGCAGGGAAAACTACTATAAACTAAGATGTTTATAAGGCCAACACTGTAAACCAGCGGTGTGTGTATTGAAACTCACAGCGATCCTGGTGCTGGCTTTGCTCTCCGCCTCTCCTGCGCTTTGCCCCTTGTGCTCGTTATTGCCCCTGCTCTGGTCCAGCGCCCGGCCGCTCTTGCCCCTCCTGGCCGTGCCGCCCTGCTGCACGAGGCTCAGCAGCTGCAGGGTGCTCTCCCGCTCGCGCTCCGAGCTCTCCGCGCGTCCCCGCTCGTAGCGCCGCTCACACGTGGAGTGATGGCGCCGGCACAGCTCGATGCGCGCGCGCAGCCGCTCCACTATGGCGCTGTGCAGCGGGGGGACCGCCGCCGCCGCCGCCGACGCTGCAGTCCTGCCCGAAGCTCCGGGCGGCCCGGGGCCCACCATGCCGGCGCCCAGCAGTGGGAAAGCAGCGGGCCTGGCGGCGGCGTGACCCGGAGCCGCCTCACCCATCTCTAACAACAGCGCTCTAAACTCTGCACACCATTAAACCGCATCAAAACATCTCCAACCAGCATCCATCACGAAGGATGATCAATTCAAAAAACTGACTTTCAAAGTCAAACGCTCGCACTTCTGTAGCGGTTAGGAGTTTAACGCGACCAAAAACAGCCACAAGTTTAAACACTACAGCAGCAGGCGGCTGTTCAGCTCTACGTCCCAACAGAAAAGTGCCATAGTAGCGTGGACCACTGATGTTATTCTGATTCTGCTGTTTGGTGCCCCCCGCCCCCGTCACTACTGCCAACTACTGCAGCTACCAGCTACCGAGCGTCTTCACAGCCCAGTTATAATCCATTCCGATCCAGAACGAGCTCCGCATCCCCACAAACTCCCGGCGTCTCCTCTCCTCTCTCTTTCGCGCACGCGCTGCTGTGCGTCTTCTTCTATTTACTCAGAAAAGGAACAAGAACTGAAGTGGACAAATGCTCGAGCGTGAGAACGCACGCTCCCCGTCCGCTCTGCGCGCGCGCTGCTCGCGGGACTCTCTCGCACTCTCTCGGAGGCTGCTTGTTCGCGCGAGCAGGTCCATCCGGGCTCGACAGCTGGAGCGAGGGCGCGAGCGCGTCAGATTCCTGGCTGTTCGGCGTCAGCTGTCGCGTTGTGCCCTCTAGCGGCGCTGAAGCGGTAGCGCTACTCTGACAACAGCCTTTCAGTTTACAACTCAAACGCGTCAGGAGGCGCACAGGAACAAAACACGAAACTTAGATCATGTAAATCCAAGGCACTGTTTCTTCTGTGCGGTCACTTGGCCCCCAAGACCTCATTAGTTTTGAAAAAAGTATAAATCCTAAGGTAAATGATTGTAAAACAACATGTCCACTTTATTACACTTGTACATTGTATCTGCACTCATTGCCCATTTTATTAAGTTCACCTACTGTACAGGTGAATTTTCTACTGCTACAATTACAGTTTGTAGCCCATCTGTTTCTCTGCATAATTTGTAGCCACCATCATCCATGGGCCAGGGGCTCATCACTGGCCGGGACCCCCACTGTCAAAACAAAAAACAAATGTCTCTAAATAAACTAACTTTACAGGAGAAGCAAAAACTTTTCTCACTTTAAGTGTAAGTTAAGGTAACAAGATTTTAGCATAAGTAATTTTGGAGCATTTCTATTGGTCCATTCAACATAAAATCTTCATGCAGTGTAAACAGCAGTGGGCGATTTTAAATTATGTACAAAAATGAAAAACGCTAATAATGTTTTGTTCTGACATAAAATATATATATGTACACGTAGAGCACATATATTTTAGGGACAGAACTTTTATCTGCACTTACTGTCTATTTTATCAGGTCCACTTACTAGATTATACTCCATCTGTTTCTCTGCATCATTTTTAGGGGGCCTTTTTTCCATTCATCAGTGGTCATGACCACCACAAGACCACCAGTGGGAAGGTATGCTACATGTCTCTCATTACCAGCATGTTTGGTGATTTCCTGCTCTGATGTTTCCAACTAAACCTGGCAGTTAACTGACGGGTTAATTCAGGTGTGTCTGAGCAGGAAAATCACCAAATTGTGCAGAAATCTAATCCAGCCCTCCAGGACCAGAGCTGGTTTTAGTTCACAGCACCAACCTAAATTTGGTTTACAGCCTCTCAGAAAACCAGGTCAAAGAAGTTAGAGAAGTTAACACCTAAAGTCACGTTTTCAGTTTAATTTAACGTAGATGGAACGTAGATTTGACATGAGCAGCAGTGTTCGTATAAATGTTCCTACACTTCAGCCTCCAAACTGATGGCATACACTTTTTCCTTCCTGCAAAAGTGCTGTGACTGACCAACATGAAGATCCATTATAGCGCTCCAGCGCCTCCTGCTGACACCAAATGGCAGCAAAAACGGTGATCAGAGTTGGGCTAAATACTTTCGAAAAAGTTAGTGATGACAGAATACACTGTGCTAAATGTATTCACTAAGGTATTACAATGCATAAAAATACATACTCAGAATACATTTACAATACATATTAACTGTATGATTTTCAGTTTATGATAGGTATATAACTTTTCACAGAATGCCTGCACAAGTCCAGTACCATGACATGTACTGTCCCTCCCTGTTTATGCCTTTTAGATTGAGTGGTTGTCTACTATTTTGCTGTGATCTAATGCACCTTAATTTTTAATGATTAATTTACTACTTACTATTACTTTTGATTACATTTTCAAATCTTCTTTCTCTGTTATTTCTACTGTAAGGGACATGAGATACATTTTAATGTATGAAAGGTGTTGTATAAACAAAGACTATTATTATTATTAGTATCACCCGAGAATATGTCCACTACTAACTTCAGTCATCCCTCGGAAGAGTTTACTAACGCTCAGATTAATACTCTTCACAGTGATTTATCAGTCTGTTCAGGCTTTAGAAGGAACGTCAGTGTTTGTAAAGAAGCCATTTTTGAGTTCTTCTTTAGAGTACGTCATTACATGCTGTGTGCTGATATTAAAACAGTTACTTATCAAGCAGTGATTGTGTTTCTTTTAAAGATTTTTATTTTAAATTTAGTGGTTAAGTGTTCTAAAAGTTTTCTCCTAAAAAGTAACTGTTTTCTCAATACTGCCTTTACAAAACGTAACTTGGACAGAATACAGATACATAATTTCTGCATTCTGAGTACATATTTTGTTACATCCCAACCCTGGTCACAACGGCATATTCCATCAGCAGAAGTACAATCACATTTATTCTAATATGGTCATGCGTCAAACTGTAGTAAAGTAAAATAATAGCTTGTGGAGTAACACAAGGAGTTTTCATAATATGCACCTCCACCTCCAACAAAGACAAGACTTGAAATGGCCTGAAAAATCAGTTTTCTGGATTATTAGTTAAATGGGTGATTTTTTTTCATCATGTGCTTCTGCAGCATTTACTCTACACCTGCCAGAATGTGAATGTTTACTATTTTCTTTTGCTGTCTGTAGACCAAATATATTCCATCGATGTGAGCTCTGTTAGTCATACAGTCATTGTATTTGAAATCAATAGTCAATTGATCTCTATGTCTGAAACACGGTCAGATTGCTTGACCACTTTCTAAGGCTGTGGCTTTGAATAAATATCAGCTGAGCATATCCATAACAGAGTAACAGCTTCGTCAGCACTGACTGGCAGAAGAGAACAAAAGCATATTCTAGTGAAAACATGTTGACATGATGAAGGCCTGAGTCAGAGAACAGGGAGATGTTTTGTAGGACAGACTGAGTCATGGCCACGGCTGCCAGAAGAGGTCAGTGGGGTGCCAGTGATCTTGTTCAGACAGGGAGTGGCCCCCTGCTATCAGCACCATCGTGGAGAAGGAATGTGTGTTTACACCAGATTCTACATCGAAAGTGTTACCAGATTTTAAACAAAAAAAATCCTTCAGTTCTATTGTTTTTGTAGTAATCCCACACATATTTAAATTAATAAGTGAATGAATATTGAACATGATCTTAAAAGAAAGATCTTAAATGGGATCTTAAAATTCAAGGTTATCTTTGTTGTCATTTTAAATGCCTCATCTTATTTTACAGCACAATGTTAGCAAATGCAACAAGTTAGAATAAAGTCATTAAAGGGGAATTTCACAGATTTCCAAAAAAAAAAAAATGCAGAATTTTAACTTTGAAGAAGTTATTTGAGGTGAAAAGCTCAATTAACAAGAAGGGTAATGAGTCAGTTAGTCATTGTTCACAGTGGTGGGGATAGGAGCCAGACATCTGAGGAAAACTTAACATGAAGGGCAGGTTTCCCAGACTCAGATTAAGCCTATAACAAAAAGAATTTCCAGTGGTAATTCTGCACCAAAAATTGACCCTGACTTTTCAAGATTAGGCATAACACAGGTCTGGAAAACCAGTATGAAATGCCTACAAATATGTTGCATGAAGATGCTTAAAATGTATTTTTTCAAAGTCCATAGTACATACTGGGCATTGTAAGGCAAAATAGTACCAGCAGAAAACCTTTCCCATGTTTTTGTCTCTATTTTACCATTATCAACATATAAAAACTCAGAAGACACATAGGTTCACTGGACATTTCAGATTGTAAATAAAATGGCTATATTTGCGTAGTTAACATTGTGACATTCCGATCACCACCACTGTAAAGACATCTGAACCAGTAAGCCTCTCCACAATGCACCATTTCACATCAAACCATTCTTAACAAATTTGTTTACATCTCAATGACTAAATTATGCACAAAAGGTGAAAAAATGGCTGGAATTCCTCTTTAAATTCAAATTAATGTGGAATTGACAATGTTCAATTAAATTTCATTCTGATTAAGTGTGAAGATGCCATCAACATCAGTTAAAGCAGACCTAATGAAGTATATAATATTTTCCCCATCACAAGATAATCTCTGAAAGCTTGTGTTTGCACTGCAGTTTATTTTTGTCAACATTTTGAGTATATAATATCACGGAATAACAAAATGTATTTGTGTATCCCAAAAGTACCACATTTGACCATTTTACTGGCTTTACTTGGCATATTGCTTCACAAAATTGAGACACATAGCATAAATTAATGTTAGTAGAGCCACAAATTGTCATTCTTACAGGTTTCCTTCCTGTGAACACATAATAAATTAATAAATTAATTCACAAGCAGTCGGATAGAAATGCTTTACAGTAGTAATAGAAATAAGACAAAATGTACATTACTCAAAAGTGAACTCAGTAAATGAAAAATTGAACTGTTTTTTCTATCATTTTCAGACAACAGATCTTTCAACAAACTACAGCATACACTCTACCACAACACAGATATTCAGTTCACTTACGAGTACTCTCCTAGGACAGCACATTACATTTCATATTCATCATAGACAAAGGCATGGAAACAACCAATTTCAGTCATTTAGCCATTCAGCAGAATCACAGTTCAACGAGGGAAATGCCAGTGCAACATTACCACAGAAATTCATCCCCAGAAGTTTAAAACATAAGTGTTATAAAAACAAAAAAGGCAGTCCCATAATCCACATTGACAACTGGTTCTGATCCATATACAAGCTAAGGGAGGACCTGGACCACAGAGTGACTGTAGATCAGCCCCGTCTCCCTCCTTCACTTGAAGTGTTCAATAATCAAAAGCTAGAAAACAATAAATAGAAAATGGCTATGAATAGTATGAACATGTCATGGCATTTTTCAAAGGCATAAATAATGTCTCAAGACATTAACCGTTCTTAAAACGCAATACAAATGTATATTTTGGAGGTCCCAGCCTACCATTAAAAAATTAAACCTGACTGAAATGACAGTATTTTTTTTCTTTTCTGATTGAAAAGCTCGAATTCACTCTATATCATTTGTCATATGTGATTGTAGCTGTCCATATAATCGCTCCAGCCTGAGCTCAAGGCATTTTATGACAGCAGTTAAAACAGGAACTACATTAGCATTTTTGGCCAGAATGTCAATACAAATTCATCGCTAATACAGGAATTGGCATATAATTGGCACTGCTCTCTGTATTCTCTTGGAAATGTAGCACAGAAGTCCTGACAAGTGACCCAGACTTTAACTTTGCTGTAAATATGCAGATTTTAACTGTAACTTAATAGATTTTCAACACTGAACAACCTGAAGTATCGTGCCTAGTTCTTAAAGACTTTCATAATTATGCTTGTTAGTTTGGATATTTGAACAGTAGTGAGCTACTGGTACTTGCAGTCTTGACCTCCTACTAATCTGGTTAGACATAAAGCATTAGATGTAAGAGTTTACATGGAGCTGCACCAAAAGTGATTGATTGGAATGACAAGTAGGTCAGTATGGCTTTACTTTCGGTCCAATACAGTTACCATGCAGGAGGAACCAGTAGACTGGAAGATGAAAATACCACAAATGCATTTGTAACTTGTAACATCCACATTAAATATCTTATTGAAAGAATTCGGTAAATAAACCATGTGCACTCACAGTCACAAAAAAGAACTTAGGAACACCTGTAAATGTAATTAATGACAAATTAATGCATGTTTTCCATTCAGTCCTTATTTGACCTTTCCTTACACAATGTCATGTGATTACCAGTATAGCCTAGAATCCAGTTTAGCAAATGGCCCATTCAGGTGCGAGAAAATATGCATATCTGGGCACCACGTCCTCAAGAACAACTTCAATATTAACTGTCTCTTCTATATTGTATTCTATTTTATACAGAGACAAAGATCATTTTGTCCATAAGCACACCTTTTGGCAAGGACAAGAACATTCCAATTTATTGCTGAATCAGTAAAGCGGGAATGTTTCAGCTTTAATCTCTTCATAGTCTTCCCTACCAAACATGCACACCTAAGCTAAAACCGGGCATCTGCATGGATGAAGACCCCTCGATGCCCAGCTCAGCTAAAATGCTCGGCTGTAGTTTAATGAATGGAAAAGCTTGTTCTTTACCCTAAACACAAATGGGTTTTAACATTTGCGCTGAGTCTCATGTTTGGTGAACCAGTGATAACCTTATTCAGCTTTCTTCCTCCTCACAATCGATACAAGTCAGATTGCAAGTCAGTGTGACTGGCAAGTTGTCATTGTAAACTCACTCAACTCTGAAAAGAACACAGTTCTTTAAATTTGCTGCAACGCCCATTTGTCAATAGTAATGACACTACACTAAAGACGACTTTCCATGAATCAATGATCTTTGTGATCCATATTGCACTCTAAAATAAAAATATTCTCATGCAACTGCACTAATTAGGATTCATCTTTGTTGAGGCAATCAGCACAGACAGCTTTTTCTTTTTCTTTTTTTTTATCTTGCACAAATGAAATCACATATCACATAACGCAGAGATGCCAGTTTTCAGGCAAGGCAAGTCTTTGATGATTAATGGCTGTTTTTTTCCTCATAAGACCAAGTGTTTGTTATGGCTTTGGGTTCCATCTTGTAAGGTCATTCCATGTGAAACATTCTGCTGTTTCTTCTGTCTGCTTTGACTCAGTCTGTCTCTAGTATCATGGCACACCAGTCTATTGGGAAAGGAGGTGATGAGGCCCACGTGCAGTGTGTGTCGCCTTGCTGCCAGCAGTAGCACATTAGCATGTTATCATTCTGTCAGGACTTGATGCCTTTGGTCGGCTCACCGGACTGCCGTACGTCCGTCCACTCCTGCATGGTGTTCTGAAGGGCCTGCGTCTTCTCCTTGTCCACTTGGACGTAGTCCACTTTCTCATCTGACGTCGCTGAAGAGGTGGAGGGCTGCGGGAATATTGAGAAGAGATTAAAAATGAAGTAAGTGACAACAATAGAACAGAAGCTTTTGACTGACAGACTTGACTGTATCAAAACAACAAACCAATAAAATCCCAGCAGCACCACTGTGCAAGTGCATACTGACCACAATAAACAGAAAATTAATTTTGCCATAAAGTTTGCAGTTTCTTTAATGCTATTTCTGATGGGAAGATTTTGTCTGAGCTACCTTTCTGTGTGGACCAGGGGAGCCAGGCTGGAAATCTAGAGCCAGATAATCGACGTTACCACATTTCCTAGGAGCAGGGCTGCTGGTACCGCTCACTGCCGGCGAGGTAGATGCTGGGTTCTGCTACAAACAGAAACAAGCAAAAACTCAAAATCAAGACATAAAACCTCATGGTACTATAGAACAGTTTAAAGACCAGCATATTAGGAAAAGAAAGGAATAAAAACACAAATTATCTCCATAAAGTCTTTTGCCTGCATTTATTAATAACAAATAACAATTCTAATTTGAAACACATTCCTATTCAGCCAGTTCTCAATATTAATGTTACTGAATGCTGATTTGAACATTTGGTCTTACCACTTTTAGTCTTGTTGTTTTTGTAAAGAGAAGTTTGCTTTTGATAAAAAAGATGCTGTCAAATAATGATACGAGGTCAGACAGAGGGCTAGATAAATACTGACCAAGCTTTTGACCAATATTTATGCAGAAATTCCCAAAACTTGCATTCTCAGCTTAGAGATATTTTTGCAGAGAAATCAAAATTTGCATTGCAAATGTGTCCTGAGGGGACCACAGAATGAACTGGCCTCTGCTACTTTTGTTTCATTATAAGCAACATTAGACATGATTAAGCATGGTTATTTAGTACATGATTGAGTCTATAGATTGCTCACCATTGCCACATAATTCTCCTCGCTGTCTGCAGAATCGGTGCTGGTGATGCTCTGGGTGGAGATGGGTCGACAGTGTTGCGAGGAGATGGAATTCATAACAGGCCTGCACATTAAAATATAAATGGCTGCTTAGTTATTTACTTTCTTCTGTACAGTTTTTTTTCACTGACACATTCAGGAATGGTGTATTCACCCATCAAAGCCTGATGCAATCTTCCGTATAGATTTCTTGCTAATTCCAGGAATACACACTGTATCACTTCCGCCAATTAATCAAATATAGGCTGATTTGTAAAAGGTGCATCTTGCATACATTTCCTAGCACAAACGCTGCATCAGTGTTTGATATGAATTTTCAGACTGTGATCAGCAAAAATATAAAGTTTTTCCAAAACTTATCATCAACATAAACTCACTCTTTGAATATAAATGGAGGGTGAAGTTTAAACTCACATGGGTCTGGTCCAGGACAAGGTAACAGGGCTCTTGAAAGGAAGCTCATCAATGATGCCGTTATTCCTCAGGTCCAGAGGTGTTGGCTTTGCTATGGATGAAGACAAGCAAAAAGAACTTCAGGGCTGAAACTTTGATTTCATTGATTTGGTTATGTCCTAAAAAGACACTGGTCAGGATTTCATTGAAATACAGCACAGATGCAGAATGGCTCATAAAGTACAGAAGGCAAAGAGAGGAAAGGACACCAGGGAACATGTGAAATGGTCAAAATGTTCCCCTCACCTTTTCTGTTGGGTTTAAGATTGCGGTTGATCGGCGGTGGTGTGACGTCACTCAGTCGGCCTGGGCGGTGGCACAGTGATGCCGTGCTGCCTTTCCTGGTTGGCAGCGTGGCAGAGAATCCCGGGAAATCAAAGTGGTGTGGGCCAGGACTCATGGGAATGTAGTTGTTCTTGGGACTGTCTGCCAGGGCAGCGTTGAGGGGAGAGGACGAGGACCCAGGGTTCATGGGTACATAGTTATCATCGGAATTGCCACTGTCTGAGCGGGTCAATGGAGTTTTCGCTCTCTGTCAAAAAAAGGAAAGGAAAGGATCTGATGTCACTAGGAACAGACCGTACTGGAGTGTACACTGGAGATAAGATATAATTAAAATGGTCTGTGACTGTACGTCTGCTCTGGTAAAAATAGGAACAAAAAGTGATTTACCAGGTAGGAACTGAAGCCATCATTGACAGACTCTACTGACTGACCAGAGTTATTGAAATAGATCGGACGTTGATGACTGCTGGTCTCAAAAGAGGATCCTGAAAGGAGGTGACAAAAAGCAATAAACATTATTACACCAAAAAAAACATCCTTCCAGGGCTGGCTTGAATAATTTTAAATTATTGAATATTCGTTTGTTACATTGGTGTTTATTTATTTTTTTAATAGGAAAGACCTTCAGAAAGAACAGTTTTTGTTATTATATATAAAATGATAAAAGTAAATCAATTATAGCTGGTTTAATTGAACGCATCATAACTTCATGCTAGGCATTAACTTGCCACACAACAAACTACATGGCCTTTAAGGCAAAAAAAAGAGAAAAAATCCCTCAGAAAGAAATGATGTATAGGACTTTAAATTATCACATAATAAGAAAAATACTCTGTCCAAAATTTGCGATAAGAGGCTGGTATACCATGGAGCCACAACAAGTTTGACGAATCCTCTCAAATAGGTACGTACTGTGATTCTGAGAACGGCCAGTCTGTGACTCCATGTAACTGAAATATTAGCACTTTTGCTGTTTTTCTTCTTTTGTTTTCTAACTACACAGTTTCTAGCAGGTTTAGAACGTGACAACCCAAGCAGCAGATTGGTTTATCGTGACAAAGTTTTTACTGCTGTAGAGTATCCTTCTCACATTGTTAATACAGTACAGGAACTGCTCTGCTACTACCACCCCAACAAGACACATTTACATACATTATTATTTTAAATATCATTTACTACTCTATAAAAAGTGGGAGTGTGTGATTTGACTGAATCACTATGGAGTTCATGGCTCACTGGCAAAGTATTTAAAAAAAAACAGGCTTGCATTTTGACAGATGTAAGATGCGCGTCTGGCACAGCCGGTGTGGACTGGAACACTGATTAAAATTAAAGCGCATCAGTAGGTGATTTTGAGAATGTGTTTAATTACATGCTCTGTAAAATCAACAGGTATCCAAACTGCTGTTTGGGAACCCCCCCTTACAAGTATTTAGCAATACGACTAAAAATCTCATAAGAAAATAATCATGAGAAAGTCATATAATATGAGAGGGACTCCTAGACTGCCATATTAAAGAGCCCTCATTCCTGCATAAATTTCCGAACAACGACTAAAGCGTTCTCCGAGCAGACGAATGCATGCAACTGTTTCATCATACACTCCATTGCCTTCACATTAGCGTTTCTGGGAACATGGCTGCCAAGCACAGGTGCATGAACGGACTGTGACTGAGCCAGCAGGGTCAAAAGGTCACTTCCTGTTACTCCAGACATGCTGGCCTGGCCTGACTGAGCGCAGAGCCACCATAGAGGCCCAGAATGGAGCCTGCTCATCTGTTTTTTTCACTGCTTATCAGGCCGGAACGAGCCACTCTGGGACTGCCTGCATGGCTTGAATTTCATTAGCCTCCCAGCAGATCAGAGCAGGCCATGCCAGATTGCCTCTTTGTTTCAAATCAGATGCAAGCTTTCAAGAGAGGAGGGAGGGAGGGAGGGAGGGAGGAGAGAGAGAGAGAGAGAGAGAGAGAGAGAGAAAGAGAAAGATGAAGAGAGAGGAAAATCAAAAGGAACAGAACCACCATGACAGAACAATGCAACAGTCAATGAAAGTTTGAGATAACAAGAAGTAAATGCTTTAGTGAGGCTGGGTGGAATGAAGTGAGAAAAATCAATAGTTTTCACTGAATTTAAGGAAACCATTTCTGTGACGAGCTTCAGTGGAAAGTTTTCTGACATGCGGTTTATGAAATCATAAGAAAAGCTGGTCATACTTCACTGAAGGGCAGCATTCGTAATGATACAAGGCACCCACATAAGCCTTTTATGACAAGTGATGTAAACCTATACTGAAATTTAGAAAAGTTTATTCCAACAAGTGTTAGTTGACGTAAAACTTGCTGAGGTGAAATGACATTAACACTGACAAAAGCAGTCTTTAGGGCAACTGACACGTGTTGGAGCCTTTATAAAAGTTTATGTAGGTTTACATCAGTTTAGGGTTAGAAAAGCTCGTGTAGGTGGCCTCACGAGTGCTGCCTTTCTGTATTACTGAAAACCTGAATTCAGCACCTCTGTGAAGCCTGATGTTCTCCACTGCTGGAAGTGTGTTCCTCCTTGGAATGACAGAAACATTGGCCACTTCTCCATTCTGACCACCCAGTGACTGAGGGCTGCCCCAGCGAGTCTCTGAGCTTTGGCTGGGTTTGGGCGGTCTAGGTGGTGGGCCGCCAGTTGAATCTGCACTGGATGGCGTCAAGGCATTGTGATTCCTGTCGAACGTGCGGGGGATCTGATAGAATGATCCAGGTGTGGTGGGCAGGTCATAGTTGTCTGTAGGGCGTTGCTCAATGAAGTGTGAGGTGGCCAGGGCATTACAGGGCGTCTTGTAGGTGTAGACTTCTTCAGATTCCAGCTCAGAAGCCCCCTCTGAGCTGTAGCCACGGGGCAAAACGTAGCAGCCGTCCCGGGGAGATCCTAGCTGCTGGTGCTTGCTGGGTTTGGGCAGACTGTAGGAACCGTGCAGCTGAGCGCCCGTCCCATTCAGACAGTGCGAGAGACCATGAGTGAGGCGCTGAACAGCTGAGTCACTGCCCACCAGCAGGCTCCCACGTGAGGCCTGGGAGAAGCTGGCACTCCTGGTGGAGAAACAGAGAGTACATCTAGTGATACTTTTTTGATAACAAAAAAGACAGAAAAAATAAAAAAAGAGAGAAAATCTATCTTTTTTTCATCAAAAAGAATGATTAAAGACATCTAACTGCAGATGACATGTCGGTACTGATGGGTATCGGTATTATGCCGATATCAGCAGAAAGTGTTGGATCTGATATCGGACAAACTCTATCAAACGTCTACCACATTTAGATTGTGGCATGTGATGTTATCTGTGTATTTTTCTTGTGGGATAGTACAGTGTTAGTACAGCAGTTTATACATGATAGCCTAATTTTAGATTTTAAGAGAGAAAATGCTTTATACAGAACATCACCATGTGAAGACAAACAGTATAAACGTATAACTGACATCAACCCGGCAACAAATCAAATCGTTGATATATGGTGCAGTAAACAATTATGTTGCAACCATAGTGAAGCTACACACAGAGATTAAACAATTTGAATGCACACCAAACAGAGATATAATGGCTAGAAAGAAATGTGTTCAAAACATACTTTTTTATTTAAAATAATATTAGACTGCTTAGAAGTGCAGAAATAGCCTACAACATACATTTTTCTTCCTGCTTATGTTGAGCAACACAGCCCCAGTGCAGCCAGCAGTTGGCAAGGGAAAAGATTTGGCTCGCTGTAATGAAAATGCAACGTTAATTTAAACACTGCAAAGCCACTGCAGATTTAGAAACTCTACACTAAAACGAGCACACATAGGTCTTTACTATGCCCTGGTTGTTTTTTAATAATTACTTTTTAGCAGTTCACAGTTAAACAAATCTGGGAATGCTGCAGCCCCATCAGCACCCCTACTTTCCAGAACCATAAAGTGAATAGCTTGAATTAAAAATAACACTTGTTAAAGCTTAGTAGTTTTTACTAAAGAAAACTGAGATCAGTATCTGTATTGGCCGATACTTAAAGGGTCTATATCGCACATTTTTTCCTTGACATTTAAGTGACTTTATATAATAAGTCATAACTCATCTCTCTTTGTTACTTTAAGACTGATAGTTGTAAACAACCTCCATTCTGACTGGCTGTCCTGTATTATGTCTCATTTAAAAAACACTCTTCTTAGGTTTTTTTAGTAAGAATGGGCAGGGCTAAACTGCTGTAGGCTGAATAGGTGGATGTATTTATATGCATAGAGACAGAGCACATTTATGCCACGCCCATACCGTGGGCACCTCTGCACTTCCCACTGACTTGCACTGTGCACTTCACTTTATTGGTTTTAAACTAAAACTGCAAATATGCCAAAAAGCTGCTGCATGATGGGTTGCATGACAGATAAGATTAAAAACCTGATTTAAAGTTTTTACACGATTCTAAGATACAAAACAAAGTCAAAAAGATGTCATAATTGGCTTAAAGCTAAAAACTGACAGGAGGGCTCCCCATTCTCAGGGATTTTATGGGATCCTGATATTATCTACGTCTATGTGCGCAGCAGACTTTTGTGTCAGGTAGGTCAAAAGGTTAATTACTTCTGGACTGTAATGGTATGTTTTGAAACTTTGACAATGTTCAAACATTACTTCAACCTTCTCTATTTCAAAAAAGTGAGGATTTTTTTTCCTGTCCATGACATGGGTCCTTTAAGTTTTCAATATTTGTATTGGTATCGAAAAAGAAAAAAGCGTCATGCCATCTCTACATCTAGTCATTTTAAAATGTAGACTGCACCTGTACAGGGTGTGTTTGTGGAAGGCAGTGCATACTTTGTACAGGTTCTGCATTAAAAAAAAAAAACAAAAAAAAACAATATATGTACACAATTTCCTGGAAATAATTATTTGAAGAATGCCCAGAAGTGCCAAACCCTGTAATTAACTGCAACCTTACTCTAACAACACACATGACTTCTGACACTTAGTTGAATGTACTCAAAACCTTATAAAGTAATGATTCTAAATGGCCACAGGGGGCAGTGTTTCCCTTTCATATTCACTCTAAGTTGAGATGGATGATGTCTTTAGAGCAATTCATCATAAGCAGGGAAAACAGCACATAATGAGACAGATTCAGAGGCAGAATGACATTCAGTATTAGGCAGGCAGTATGGTGGCCATGATGTAGTGGGCCAGTGGCAAGAGTTTAAAATGAGTTTAAACCTGCATCCATGCTGAATAATGGGTGCATGAAGTTTCCCACAGTAAAATGGGCAGTGCCTACACCCATGGGACTTGACTTGCACAGTTTGCATATACTCCCTTGTATGAGCCTAACAAGCTGTATTCTCAAGACCATACGGTCCAGTTTATTTTTCAGCATGGAAGTTCAAATGCACAGCATCAGGCCACCCAAAAATGCTAATGCTATTATGAAGAATTAAAATTAGAAAGGGTCATTTAGCATCAAACAAAAGAGATCATTTTACTACAAGGACCAAAAAAGCATTTCTGAATAGTTTTCTTAAAGGGGAATTCCACTGATTTTTCAAATTTTCTGCATAATTACCTTATTAATTATGACTTGCTTCAGATCTCAGCAATTAAATTATGCTGACATTTTGATAAATTGCTGGAATTCCCCTTCAAGTATACCTCTTAACTACCGTGCTTATTTCTAAGCAGTCTATAGGACATGTCTTTTAATGGAGTTTTCAAAATAGAATGTGAGACAATAGGATGAATGAGATCAAATACGGATAGCTGCTGCGCACATCCTGTATGTGGATCCCTCTGCAAACATCACTCTACATCACTGCTTATGCCAGGATGTTCAGAAATCTTTCTTAGGAGTTTGTTTAAGAAAAAATGTTCTACGCAAGCATTATCTTTATAGGTAATCTGAAGTTTTTATCTATATCCCAACACGTCAAGTATGACATAACGTCTACTCAGTGGACTAGTGGAATGTTTCAGCGCTGGAATTTTAACTCCTGTAAACCAGCAATACCATTCTTTTATGCGCATTATGATCATCTTCACAAAACAGCATAATCTGAGTAAGAGTGTCTTTCATATTCTGCCTTCAGTTTGCTGTATTGACACAAAAGTGCCTGCCCTAACTCAGCTATGTCAGCAAATCCTTCACAGTGTAATGATGGATCAATATATCAAACATTATTCATTATGCACCTCTGATCCATGCAGTGCTCTCTGAAGATCATTTATCAATCCATGATAAATGGGACATCATCTCTTCAAACTCATTCTGACTTGATGGATGATGCATCAGTAAGAAATATGGATGAAAATGTGTGGGAGTGGGTGACAGAGATCTAAGCCTGCATCAGCTGGGATGGCTGAAAGGGTTGCATTTTGCAAGATCTGACCCAGAACAGTGGGAGTTAACTGGTCAAAACCTGCTGATGTAGTTGTGTAGTACCACTGCAAAATACTTGCTAGTTCTAGCAGAAAAATCCGAACAACTCCGTAAAAGAACTTTTCTTCAGCTCATTCTACAAAATTGCTGAGGCTGTGATCACCCCTCTGGGACTGAAAATCATGTTTTACACAGTTTTTAGTGCGGGTACAGATCACTATATAAGAAAATACATGACTAAATGTTGAGCAGAGCATTTCTCAGGGCTCTCCCTTGCGAGTCTCTTCTCCTGAGATCGAATAGCCCGCTTTCTTCTGTGCACAACCCAGTTCTTTTTTCACACAGGTTAATGATGGGTGTGGTTGTGGCCTACAAGGTTATGACTTCAGACCCTTAAGGGGCTAAGGTGTGCTCAGTTAACAGCAGCAGGTGGGGCTGGTTTCATATCAACTAGGCAAAGACTTTCACAATCTTCAAAGCTCACTTCAAGGAATGGCTCATTGTCTAGGAATACAAAACACGGTAAACGTCTTTCCTTATGTAATTCTATTATAAACCAAAACTAGTCATAGAAAGGGGTAAGCACAGGATATTTCTGAAGCTATGTGTCTTTGAATTTCATGTTATTAAGGGGCCCATGTCCTACATTTTTCTTATACTAACATTCCACAGTTAATTTTTATAGTATCGTTTTCCAAGCTCTATTGATGTATATTTATCCCTTAGAATTAAACAGGTTATTTTTGTGCTTTTCAGACTGATATACTGCTAAGATTGATAAGACTGATATGTTAATGACATTTGTTCTGACTGGTTACCTCTATTGTGCTTCATTTAGGCTGAAACACTTTTTATAACTTCAGTATGAGTGGGTGGGCTAAGCTCCTCTTGGCTAAATAGCCAGATACACCTAAATGTGTTGACTTGTGTGATATCACAAAACAATTAATTCAAAATACACTGATTTTGCAGCTTAGTTTCCATATAGATGAAGTCATAAATAATCATAAACTTGATTCCCACAATCTAGTGTACTTAGTATTTTGGTAGGGCTGCCGCAGATCTCTGCATATGGTGACAAAAACCACACCATGGTCAGAGAGCACGTTGCATCCCTGTGGGCACATGATGTACTGACTCACCCAGGCCGAACACGTATCTCACTAACCCTAACCCTGTTAAGCATGGAACGGTCCATGCACTAAATACAGATGAAACTCTGATAATAATAAAACGCTGTTATCATATCCTATGGACAGCATTATATAACCTTTCTGTTCACTGCACTTTCTTTTAGCTATTCTTCTGATTATATATGTATTAGAACATGTATTTGTGGATCTTGGTAGTTTCCTTTATATCAGAATTCTGTGCTTTTAGAACCCTAAAGTGGTCTGCTCACCACTTGATATACCTCATAATTTATGATGAAGGATTGCACACTTTTGGATAGTTTAGGTAAGACTGTCAAATAGGAATGTTCGCTTGGATTCTCGTGTCATTTTACTCAAGTTAAGAACAACTCTGCTTTTAAGAAACACTTCCTAAGAGGATAATGAAGGTCTTCTGCAGCCATGAAATTTAGAGGCAAAAGCTCTAAATGTAGTATTTTTGTTTCAGTATAACGAAGAAACATATTTTAGCATTCTAATGGCTTTTTTTTACATCATCATTGTTTATGCATAATAGAATGAAAATCCCTTATGGGCTAAGAAAGTTGTTGTTGACGTGTCTAAAAAGTGTCTCCAACAATTACATCATTAAGTTGATGTGAACACAGTGCCTTTAAAATACACAGATTGCAGGCAAGATCTAACACTACTCCTGCTATATGGCCTATGGAGTGTGATGGGGTGTTTGAAGACCACAGGAAGCCCACCATGGGTGCCTCCAGAGGTCACAATCCTTACCGAGCACTCTCACTTTTCCGGCTCATGCACTGGTGAAGAAGGAGGTAGTCCTGGGGGGCGCTGTTGGACAGGGGGCCGTGGGAGTGGCGTACAGGCATGTCGAAGGTGAACAGCATCGGCTGGCTGGAATGGGAGGGCGCAGAAGATTTACGTTCACCAATCAGAGGAGCCAAAGAGCTGCTAAGGTCACCGGCCATGGAGCGGGACATGTGGGTAGTGGATGGCCTGTCATCTGCATTATGGAACAAAAAAACAAAAAAGATGGAGGACTTTGAGACAATGCACAACAACGTCATTCACAGGTAACTTTCATTTTCACTACGAGGGAGTCACTGGACTTGATTGGTGGGTTGATCCAAAACCAAAAGCATCACAAATCACAAACATCATGAGGTAGCAGGAAGCAGGATGTCCTGGGCACTATAGAAGGCTGTTCACTTCAGTGACCTCACCATTTTGTATTTATCAACCTTAAGTGATACGGCCCTGTTTTGCATGTCTGCATAAACAAAGGCGAAGAACAGCAGCCAACTTGTCTTTTCCCACTATAATCAATGAAGTCAAAGGACAGGGAAAATTCAATTGAGCACTTTAAGCTGTAACATCCATGTCGACGGCTCGTATTCAATAGCTTTCAGTGTGTGCTCCAAATTCAATCACTGGAGATGGCCAATCCGTCTTTTTGGGGGGGTGGGATAACAAAAGAAGGAGTCTTAAGGCCTCTTTGTCTCCTGTCAAAGGTCAATTTTTACAGCACTCTTTAGTGCCGCTTCAACTACGAGCGCAAAATCACGCAGACTCTGCGTTGTGCTGCTTACTTCCTATCTGTCTTAACACAGAGCTGTGTGAACATCATGGCCTTTGCTTTGAGTTGTTTCTTGGTGACATCTCTGATTCCTCCTTCATGGGTCTGCCGAGCGAAGGCAAATCTCAGGCCACAGAACTCAAAATAGACTGGGCAGAGAGCCAAAAACCAGGAAGTGCATATGACCCCTTTTTCCCACCAACCATCATCCTCCTCATGCTCAACAAGCTTGGCAGAGAGAGAGAGAGAGAGAGAGAGAGAGAGAGAGAGAGAGAGAGAGAGAGTGAGTGAGAGTGAGAGAGAGTGAGAGTGAGAGTGAGAGTGAGAGTGAGAGAGAGAGAGAGAGAGAGAGAGAGAGAAAAAATGTGGGCGGACTAGTAGCTTTACTACGTTACTCTATGAGACTTATACTTCTGCATCTTTTTCAACAGACTGCAGTGGGAGGCAGACTTAGAATTTCATCCAGGCACCTTGTTGAGTTTTTCATATAGGTCTATGCAGAGTTGTATAGACTACATTTACAGATCAATTTAATACATGTTTCTACTAAATTAAGTGTAAACAGGGTGCCAGCCTTGTAAAAAGGATTGTGAAGTGCTGGATGCAAAAAAATACAAATACATCAGAAAATCATCAGCACGTAAAGATCAGAACAAGTAAAGATCATGCAAAACAAATACATTATGGAGAACTTTTAAAATATGTTTATCAATAAAGAGTCAGAAATAGCTTGACCAAACATGCTAACACGGCTAACAGTGAACAGAATCTGGTAGCCACTTATTGACATGAGGTTAGCTGCATAATTCTATGTGGTCGTTGTTCATTTTCATTTCTTTTAGCAATGTTAGATTTTTTTAAACTATTTCTTTAACAGTGTGAACAGTAAATTAAATCATTATAAATAAATTAATGGGACAAGTTTTCATTCACTATTAGTCATGATAGCATATTTTTGTGAAGAATTCCTTGAAGCTACCATAGAAATACTTAAACATTACTTAAATGTACTAGATTACTTCAAGGGGCCTATACGTTTGCATTATTAGAGAGATTTACTCAATGATTGTGTTGAGTTCTCCATATACACCAAGGGATTGGAGCAGGGAAGTGGTGGAGGAGTGGAGAGAGGTTGGACAGCGGAGAGTGAAACAACTCTCCTCTTAGAGGCGCAAACACCCATCCCACAGTGAGGTGGAAGCCAATGATGTGGTAGGAATTTTGGTGGTGGCATCTAGGGAGGTCAATCAGATTTCATGGTAGACACCAGCCACTCCGGCCAACCCTTCGAAACCGTGCATGGATACTGTAGAAGTACCTAACCATTACTTAGTTGACTAGGCCACATGCAGAGTTATACAGACTCCAGCTCATGGGTTAAACGATAACTGTAACACAAATTTGTCATGAAAAAATAAGAGTAAACAAGCTGCCAACCTTGTGTAAAGGCTTATAAAGTGCTGGATTAAAAAAAATACAAATACTGAAAATCAGACACAATAGCTCAATAGCTGAAGATCATTCAAAATGTTCAAGAAAAGGTGATAGGTGCTTAAGCCTGAGTGATGGACATGACAATGATTCAGAAAGGGGAGCGGTTGGATGAATGAGGTCATATCCCTGCCTTAGGCAGAGGGAGAATGAAAGCGATAGAGAGAGAGAGAGATGTTCCTCACTTTTCCTGACCACTTGGACAAGAGCAACAGCCCAGGCCACAGTGTCAAAGGGTTCAGTACTAGCCTTCAATTAGTCCATTGTTCTGAGGATACGCTAAGGCTAGTTAAGCAAGCACTCTTCCACAGTGGCCTCTGAGCTCCCTGTGAATGCACTCAGCCAGATCTGTGTGCTCAGGGCCCACTAACAGTCATACATGTATTGATTTACTGAGGGACCATGCTCCTCCCCCACCCCGGAGAGAAGATACACTGGTAAGGCTGAACACAAGTAAGGCTTCACATTTCTAACAGAGCCTGTTGGCATCAAGCTATATGGAGATGAAAGTACCTCAAAGCATTACAGTGGCACTGTCGCTGAACAATTATGTAACTCCATAGAACCATGCAGGTTTGAAAGTCTTGAGTCCAAATAGAAGAAGGCACGGCATGGCAGCGATGAGGCGACCCAGCCCAGGGAGCAGCTGTGATGGCTCATCATTGACACTAATGGGATGTGTGATCAATAAGCCTACTACAGTAAAGTGATTTGTACAGGGCAGAGAAACCAATGGTTTATAAAAAAGCAAACACTTGATCTAAATAATGGCTGATTTGACTGTAGATTGATGGAACTGTGCAAAAGTTTCCTGCACTGTACAGAAGTCTTAATAAGGAATTTCACAGTTTAAAATTCTCCATAATTCAATAGGTTACATGTGAACAAAGTCTTGCAAAGTGGCTTGATGTGAAATGGTTAATTGTAGAGAAAATGACCAACTTAGATTTCTTTGCACTGTGGTAATAGGAGCCAGGGCTCATGATGTCTACAACACAAATATAGCCATTTAATGTACTTTTGATTTTTAGTCCAAAACTATCATAAAACAAAGTCCATGAGGCAGCTTTTAGAAACATTTAACACTTCAGACGTCTGGTTCCAGTCACCACCACTGTGAACAATTTTGACTTGGTTTCTTTAGAACTATCAAAACAATGTAAATGACTTTGTTTTTATGCTAATTTAATTAAGCAGACCATTTTAAAACTCAGTGAAATTCTTATTTAAAAGAAAAGCTAAGCTATATATAGTAAAGAAATAGTTTCACCAAACAAGCTAACAAGTACATTTAAGCCAGTAGCCACTAGTTAACACAATGTTTTTTGCATAATGCTAAGTGGTCGCTGTTTGCTTTCATTAGCAAAATTACTTTTAACTACTCCTTTAACAGTAAGAATAATAAGTGAAGAGACACAGGGCTCATTAGAATTTCTTTAAGTTACCATAGAAATACCTAAACATTACTTAGGGGGAAGTAATGCAGTTGTTGTTGCCAGAAGAAAACCCTTATTTAATTTCCAATACCGTGTATTTAAATAGTTGGAACTTGCCAGTATTGTAACGCATGCAGGTGCTAGGTCAAAGAGCAGCTGAGTCCATGCTGCAATGTTCCTATTATGGCCAATGATACATTACCTACTGTCTCACTGGCAAGGCTGCTATCATCTAATAAAATTAGACTGTTGGGTCTCAGGAGTCCAGAATTAGTAGGCCCGGTGTGGAGAGGGGGATAAGGCGGTCTTTTATCAAGACCTCATTTCCTCTCTACATTGTGAAAGTCATACAAGGACAGCGGATAATATGATTTATATCTTATACAAAAATAGGAATATGGAATGACCTAATGATTAAATCTGATTAGTGTGCATAAAAGAAAAGGAGGAAAAAAAAAGAAATAGTACAGATACCACAGATTCTTCTGAACAGAGAATGGACACAGCATTTGATATCAGGTGCTAACGTTCTCCTGATATTTATTAACAGCACATTTCTGTGGGAAAACCCCTCTCATTTGAGAACAACTGATATCAAAACACCTTGTAAAGAACCTACTGTCGTTCCTCCTGTGGCTAGTTTTCCTAGCTGGCTAGTTAAAAGTAATTTCCCTTAACAGTTTCAGGAAAAAAAAACAAAAAAAAACGAGGCAATGCTTATGGAACAGTGCCTTCAGGGTCGGACAAATTGACTTCGGCTACAGCCTCTCTCATAGCAGACTCTAGCCAGACAGGACAAACTGCTTTTGTCTCCTGAGTCCCCATGCTCCCACAGCTAACACCCGCACAAAGATAATGGTGTATCCCAAATGGCATGCCAGAAGGCATTTGCGTTCCTGCAGTTGGGAGATTCCATTTGCCTTAATGAGAGTGACGTCAGTAGATAATAACATTTCTGGTCATTCCAAGGATACTCTGGAGGCTAGTCTGAGGATGACATTAATAGCGGTGTTATGACCTAATGTGTTGTCATCTATGCTGCCTTTGGGTCTGCTTATCTCTACTACAACAATACACCTCAATGATGCAAAACAGCATTTAAACAAATTAAAACTGCAGATGTTTTTTATGAAAACATTTTAAGGTTTATCGTTTTCAGGAATGCAAGCTGGTAAGCTATAATCTTATGCAGATTTACAACTGGTGCCATTTTTGAAGCACTCTTGCCTTTTGGAATGGAGTAAACAACATTCTGACTAATCCGACAGATTTGCGTAAGCTACTGAGCTGAGATGGTCAAGGAGGCTAGTTTTGAACGCTAAGTAATTAGCAGAGTGACACAGCATGATGAGGGCCATGTCCCTGGAGCCGCCCCTCTGATCACATTACCCACAACGCCCTTCTCCACAGCCTACATCATGTGAGCACTGCCTGCGACCACACAGCAACATCAATTAGCCTCAGCAGCTTGGACTGATCAATCTGCGAGAAAGCCTCGCT